CGGAAATGGAGGAAAACTAGACTCCCTGCGGTCCTGTCATCTTTTCACTCCCTCCTCTCTACATTCTCTTCCTCCGTTTCTGCTGCTAAAGCCACATTCTACCACTCTAAATTTCAAGCCTCTGCCTCTAACCCTATGAAGCTCTTTGCCACCTTCTCCTCCCTGCTGAATCCTCCTCCTCCTCCCCCTCCCTCCTCCCTCTCTGTGGATGACTTCGTCAACCATTTTGAAAAGAAGGTTGACGACATCCAATCCTCATTTATTAAGTCAAATGACACCACTGGTCCTGCTCACACTGCCCTACCCTATGCTTTGACTTCTTTCTCCCCTCTCTCTCCAGATGAAATCCTGTGACTTGTGACGGCCGGCCGCCCAACAACCTGCCCGCTTGACCCTATCCCCTCCTCTCTTCTCCAGACCATTTCCGGAGACCTTCTCCCTTACCTCACCTCGCTCATCAACTCATCCTTGACCGCTGGCTATGTCCCTTCCATCTTCAAGAGAGCGAGAGTTGCACCCCTCCTCAAAAAATCTACACTCGATCCCTCCGATGTCAACAACTACAGACCAGTATCCCTTCTTTCTTTTCTCTCCAAAACTCTTGAGCGTGCCGTCTCTAGCCAACTCTCCTGCTATCTCTCTCAGAATGACCTTCTTGATCCAAACCAGTCAGGTTTCAAGACTGGTCATTCAACTAAGACTGCTCTTCTCTGTGGCACGGAGGCTCTTCGCACTGCTAAAGTTAACCCTCTCTCTCCTCTGCTCTTATCCTTCTAGACCTATCTGCTGCCTTTGATACTGTGAACCATCAGATCCTCCTCTCCACCCTCTCCGAGTTGGGCATCCCCGGCGCTGCTCACTCTTGGATTGCGTCCTACCTGATAGGTCGCTCCTATCAGGTGGCGTGGCGAGAATCTGTCTCCGCACCACGTGCTCTCACCACTGGTGTCCCCCAGGGCTCAGTTCTAGGCCCTCTCCTATTCTCTCTATACACCAAGTCACTGTGGTCCTCTGTAGCTCATACACCAAGTCACTTGTGGTCCTCTGTAGCTCAGCTGGTAGAGCACGGCGCTTGTAACGCCAAGGTAGTGGGTTCGATCCCCGGGACCACCCATACACAAAAAAATGTATGCACGCGTGACTGTAAGTCGCTGTTGGATAAAAGCGTCTGCTAAATGGCATATTATTATTATTATTATTACTAGGCTCTGTCATATCCTCACATGGTCTCTCCTATCATTGCTACGCAGACGACACACAATTAATTTTCTCCTTTCCCCCTTCTGATAACCAGGTGGCGAATCGCATCTCTGCATGTCTGGCAGACATATCAGTGTGGATATCGGATCACCACCTCAAGCTGAACCTCGGCAAGACGGAGCTGCTCTTCCTCCCGGGGAAGGACTGCCCACTCCATGATCTCGCCATCACGGTTGACAACTCCATTGTGTCCTCCTCCCAGAGTGCAAAGAACCTTGGCGTGACCCTGGACAACACCCTGTCGTTCTCCACTAACATCAAAGCGGTGACCCGATCCTGCAGGTTCATGCTCTACAACATTCGCAGAGTACGACCCTACCTTACACAGAAAGCGGCACAGGTCCTAATCCAGGCACTTGTCATCTCCCATCTGGATTACTGCAACTCGCTGTTGGCTGGGCTCCCTGCCTGTGCCATTAAACCCCTACAACTTATCCAGAACGCAGCAGCCCGTCTGGTGTTCAACCTTCCCAAGTTCTCTCATGTCACCCCGCTCCTCCGCACACTCCACTGGCTTCCAGTTTAAGCTTGCATCTGCTACAAAACCATGGTGCTTGCCTATGGAGCTGTTAGGGGAATGGCACCTACTTACCTTCAGGCTCTGATCAGACCTTACACCCAAACGAGGGCACTATGTTCATCCACCTCTGGCCTGCTAGCCCCCCTACCTCTACGGAAGCACAGTTCCCGCTCAGCCCAGTCAAAACTATTCGCTGCTCTGGCACCCCAATGGTGGAACAAGCTCCCTCACGACGCCAGGACAGCGGAGTCACTGACCACCTTCCGGAGACACTTGAAACCCTACCTCTTTAAGGAATACCTGGAATAGTATAAAAGTCATCCTTCTACCCCACCCCCCCATAAAAAAAAAAGATTTAAAAAGTGGTTGTCCCACTTCCTATCATAAGTTGAATGTACCAATTTGTAAGTCGCTCTGGATAAGAGTGTCTGCTAAATGACGTAAATGTAAATGTAATTGAGGTGATTAACTATTTAGCAGTCTTATGGCTTGGGGGTAGAAGCTGTTCAGGGTCCTGTTGCGCTAGCAGAGAGAATAGTCTATGACTTGAGTGGCTGGAGTCTTTGACCATTTTTAGGGCTTTTCTCTGACACCGCCTGGTATAAAGGTCCTGGATGGCAGGGAGCTCGGCCCCAGTGATGTACTGGGCTGTACGCACTACCCTCTGTAGCGCCAAGTGGTCAGATGCCAAGCAGTTGCCATACCAAGCGCTGATGCAGCCAGTCAAGATGCTGTCAGTGGTGCAGCTGTATACCTTTTTGAGGATCTGAGGGCCCATGCCAAATCCTTTCAACCTCCTGAGGGGGAAGAGGCATTGTAGTGCCCTCTTCATGACTGTGTTGGTGTGTGGACCATGATAGATTCTTAGTGATGTGGACACCGAGGAACTTGAAGCTCTCGACCCACTCCACTACAGCCCCGTCGATATGAATGGGGGTGTGCTCAGCCCTCTATTTCCTATAGTCCACAATCAGGTCCTTCGTCTTGCTGATGTTGAAGGAGAGGTTGTTGTTCTGGCACCACACTGCCAGGTCTCTGACCTCCTCCCTATAAGCTGTCTCATCGTCGTCGGTGATCAGGCCTACCACCATTGTGTTGTTGGAAAACTTAATTATGGTGTTGGAGTCCTGCACGGCCAGGCAGTCGTGCACGACTCCAACATCCGCCACGCTGACCCTGAGGGCCACCCGTGTTGAGGGTCAGCGTGGCGGATGTGTTGTTACCTACCCTCACCACCTGGAGGAGGCCCGTCAGGAAGTCCAGGATCCAGTTGCAGAAGAAGGTGTTCAGTCCCAGGGTCCTTAGCTTAGTGATGAGCTTGGAGGGCACTATGATGTTGAACGCTGAGCTGTAGTCAATGACCAGCATTTTCACATAGTTGTTCCTCTTGTCCAGGTGGGAAAGGACAGTTTGGAGTGCAATAGAGATTGTGTCATCTGTGGATCTGTTGGGGCGGTATGCGAATTGGAGTGGTTCCAGGGTGTCAGGGATGATGGAGTTGATGTGAACCATGACCAGCCTTTCAAAAGCATTTCATGGCTACAGATGTGAGTGCTACGAGGCGATAGTCATTTAGACAGGTTTCCTTGGCATTCTTGGGCACAGGGACTATGGTGGTCTGTTTGAAACATGTAGGTTTTACAGACTCAGCGCATGCTCTGAGTACGCATCCTGGTAATCTGTCTGGCCCTTTGGCCTTGTGAATGTTAAACTGTTTAAAGGTCTTACACACATCGACTACGGAGAGCGTAATCACACAGCCGGCCTGAACAGCTGTTGTTCTCATGCATGGTTCAGTGTTGCTTGCCTCGAAACGAGCATAGAGGGCATTTAGCTCGTTTGACAGTCTCGTGTCACTGGGCAGCTCGTGGCTGGGTTTGCCTTTGTAATCTGTGATAGTTTGCAAGCCCTGCCACATCCGGCGAGCATTAGAGCCGGTGTAGTAGGATTCAATCTTAGTCCTGTATGGACGCTTTACCTGTTGGATGGTTCGTCGGATGGGCGTAGCGGGATTTCTTATAAGCGTCCGGATTAGTGTCCCGCTCCTTGAAAGCGGCAGCCTTTAGCTCAGTGAGGATGTTGCCTGTAAACCATGGCTTCTGGTTGGAATATGTAAGTACGGTCACTGTGGGGATGACGTCGTTGATGCACTTATTAATGAATGGTGACTGATGTGGTAAACTCCTCAATGCCATCGGATGAATCCCGGAACATATTCCAGTCTGCGCTAGCGAAACAGTCTTGCAGCTTAGCATCAGCTTCATCTGACCACTTCCATACTGAGCGTGTTTGAGCTTTTGCTTGTAAACCGGAATCATGAGTATAGAGTTATTCTCAGATTTGCCAAATGATCAACAACCTGTATCAGTGCAGTGAGTATGAACTTGTTTTCTTTTACAATTTGCTTCCCAATTTTAATTTCCTTAAGTGTTCATAAGTGCAAATGGTTGCAAAATGAGTATCTTCATTTCTCTATACCAGGCGGTGTCAGAGGAAGGCCCTAAAAATTGTCAAAGACTCCATTCACCCTAGTCATGGACTGTTCGCTCTGCTACCCCACGGCAGGCGGTACCGGAGCGCCAAGTCTAGGTCCAAAAGGCTTCTTAATAACAGCTTCTATCCCCAAGCCATAAGACTCCTGAACAGTTAATCATGGCTACCCGGACTATTTGCATTGTCCACCCCACCCCACCTCCTATTTTACGCTGCTGCTACTCTCTGTTTATTATCTATGCATAGTCACTTTAACTCTACCCACATGTACATATTACCTCAATTACCTCGACTAACCTGTGCCCCCGCACACTGACTCTGTACCTCTACCACCTGTATATAGGCTCCCTACTGTTATTTGATTTTACTGCTGCTCTTTAATTATTTGTTATTTTTATTTTTTACTTATCTATCTCTTTACTTAACACTTATTTTTCTTAAAACTGCATTGTTGGTTAAGGGCTTGTAAGTAAGCATTTCACTGTAATGTCTACACCTGTTGTATTCGGCGCATGTGGCAAATAACATTTGATTTGATTAAGACATATTATATGTTGTTTTTCTCATTTCAGGTATGTAGTTCGTTAATTGAGGAACTGAGAGAAGATGGTTGTCTGCAATATAATTCTCAATGACTGTGTTATTCATTCTCAGTGTGCCACTGTATCTTCATTGTCCTTAATTTACTGACAGTCTCTTTCTGTTCCTCAGGAAAACAACGCAAATGCTGGAAAATCTCTCACACACACACAAAATAGTATTCTGATTATTTAAAAAATGTGTTGTTTATTTTACATGACAGTTGTATGTAATACATTCAAATAATAATACTCAAAAATGTATACAATGGCATATGCTGTACACAGTGCACACAGTAATAAAGTCACTAGTGTAATACTTAGGCTAGGTCATGCAAGACCAGATATGGTTATTGGCAGAGACAGGATTTACTCATATCTTGCATTTTCCTATTATATACTAAAGCTTTGTTCTCTAGAGTTTGAGCTCCAGACATTCAGGGAAAAATTCATTATGGGAGAGTTATTGTCATAAGGCTTTTTTTCCCCTAAAGGAAAACAATAGGAATTGATTCAGAGTAAAAAAAAAAAAACGTATGTTGGTGTGCTTCACTGCTGATTCTATCTAAAGGAAACAGGGCTGTGTAGTTCCATGATTGCCCAGTAGGGAGCGCTCACTCCATAAGCAAACATGGATGAGAGGGGCACATAAGATTGGGTTCCTAATTAAAACCCTACCAAGGCAACATCAGGTTAATGCAGTGAAGTTTTGTTAGGATTATTTAAATAAGTCACTCTGTTAATACATCAAGGCTCACTCCATATTTGAATCAGGCATACACGACATACACACACTCAAACAATGTTTATGAAACATGAACAGTGTAGTCAATAAAGCATAATCAATCAGGTTCAGTTCTTCTCCCATAACTTCTTCTTCCCTTCATCCCTAAAAAGAGCAGAGTCAGGGATTTCTAGCTTGACAGTTTCATAATTATGTTTTCATTATGTTTATCCACTTTCAGCATGCTCTGAAAAACATACAAACTCACCCTTGAGCATTTGGTTCATCCATCCTTTGGTGGAGGTGACGGTGGATTTTCAGGGGGGTTTATGTCTCCATTGGGCTCTTTCTTCTCAGGCTTGGTGGGGCTCTTCTCTGGGGGTGGTCTTCTGGGCCGTCTCCTCTTGGGCTTCCGTGAGCGTGTAGAGACGGGCTGTGCTGGATCCAACAGGGGATCCAAATGTAATTTTCCACTCACTGCATCTGAGGACTCATCAATGTATGCCAGGTTCTCTCCAAAGTAGTCCAGAGGCTGGGAATACAGGGCATCTGGGAAGATGTTCTCCTTATCGACATCCTTCTCTTTTTCCTCTACTACCCGCTCATGCTGTGTGACCTCTGACCCTGTCTCGGATCCAGACTCTGACTCGTTGGAGGAGTAAGAGTATGAGGACGATCCAGTCTCTGATTGGCTGTTCAGCTGGCCATTCTCCATCACCCTGCCCCCCTCCCCAGGGGCCCCAGTCCCAGACACATGGCCTGCCCCATTGCCTCGGCTGCGAGGGCCATGTCGACGCTTTCGTCGTCGTCGTTTGAAGGGGTCGTCAGGCATGCGGAAGTCCACCGACATGTTCTGAATGTTCTGACCCCAGTCAGTGGTACGGGCTCTGAGCTCCTCCATCTGGGAAGAGAGAGAGGAAAGACATCAAATCAAATCACTATTTAAAGAGCATTTAGTCATTTAGTCATTTAGCATTTAGAGGAAGGGAGGATCATTGAGGAATAGAACAGGTGGCTATAGGTGACAAAGTGTACAGTGCTGCCCATTTGCTTGTACTTTCCCATTCAGGGCCCAATCAGTTTTTACACTCACCTCAGCCCTGGTCTTCTTGGACAGGACCCGAAGCCAGTTTGCAACCATGGACAGGATGGAAGCAAAGTAGGCCAGGCCCAGCAGGATCCAGAACCACACCAGGGGCTTGTACCAGTGGTCCTTGCCACCATCTCCACTATCACCTGACAGAGAGAAGCAAGAGGATAGTGATAGATAGGGGTTTACAGGTGTAGACAATGGATAATCAGCAACTTTACAGCTTAGTTTACACATGACAGATGTGCTGTTAAAACCTATAGTCTAGATGAGGAAATTATGTCAAAAACCATTATGCATATTTAATCCCTTTTTTTAGGCACTAAACTAGATACACTTAGGTTAGAGTCATTAAAACTCGTTTTTCAACCACTCCACAAATTTCTTGTTAACAAACTATAGTTTTGGCAAGTCGGTTAGGACATCTACTTTGTGCATGACACAAGTAATTTTTCCAACAATTGTTTACAGACATATTATTTCACTTATAATTCTGTATCACAATTCTAGTGGGTCAGAAGTTTACATACGGACTATGTTGGCTGTGCCTTTACACAGCTTGGAAAATTCCAGAAAATGATGTCATGGCTTTAGAAGCTTCTGATAGGCTAATTGACATCATTTGAGTCAATTGGAGGTGTACCTGTGGATGAATTTCAAGGCCTACCTTCAAACTCAGTGCCTCTTTGCTTGACATCATGGGAAAATCAAAATAAATCAGCCAAGACCTCAGAAAAAAAATTGTAGACCTCCACAAGTCTGGTTCATCCTTGGGAGCAATTTCCAAACGCCTGAAGGTACCACGTTCATCTGTACAAACAATAGTACGCAAGTATAAACACCATGGGACCACACAGCCGTCATACCGCTCAGGAAGGAGACGCGTTCTGTCTCCTAGAGATGAACGTACTTTGGTGCGAAAAGTGCAACTCAATCCCAGAACAACAGCAGAGGACCTTGTGAAGATGCTGGAGGAAACAGGTACAAAAGTATCTATATCCACAGTAAAATGAGTCCTATATCGACATAACCTGAAAGGCCGCTCAGCAAGGAAGAAGCCACTGCTCCAAAACCGCCATAAAAAAGCCAGACTACGGTTTGCAACTGCACATGGGGACAAAGATCGTACTTTTTGGAGAAATGTCCTCTGGTCTGATTAAACAAAAATAGAACTGTTTGGCCATAATGACCATCGTTATGTTTGGAGGAAAAAGGGGGCAGCTTGCAAGCCGAAGAACACCATCCCAACCGTGAATCACGGGGGTGCCAGCATCATGCTGTGGGGGTGCTTTGCTGCAGGAGGGACTGGTGCACTTCACAAAGTAGATGGCATCATGAGGAAGGAAAATGATGTGGATATATTGAAGCAACATCTCAAGACATCAGTCAGGAAGTTAAAGCTTGGTCGCAAATAGGTCTTCCAAATGGACAATGACCCCAAGCATACTTCCAAAGTTGTGGCAAAATGGCTTAAGGACAACAAAGTCAAGGTATTGGAGTGGCCATCACAAAGACCTGACCTCAATCCTATAGAACATTTGTGGGCAGAACTGAAAAAGCGTGTGCGGGCAAGGAGGCCTACAAACCTGACTCAGTTACACCAGCTCTGTCAGGAGGAATGGGCCAAAATTCACCCAACTTATTGTGGGAAGCTTGTGGAAGGCTACCCAAAACATTTGACCCAAGTTAAACAATTTAAAGGCAATGCTACCAAATACTAATTGAGTGTATGTAAACTGACCCACTGGGAATGTGATGAAAGAAATAAAAAGCTGAAATAAATCATTCATTTCACATTCTTAAAATAAATTGGTGATCCTAACTGACCTAAGACAGGAAATGTTTACTAGGATTAAATGTCAGGAATTGTGAAAAACTGAGTTTAAATGTATTTGGCTAAGGTGTATGTAAACTTCCGACTTCAACTGTATACACATACTTCCATTAATGTTTGTAACTGGTACCAGGCTACCTTCAGACCAGTGAGGCTTGTGGGCATCCTAGAGCACAACATGTAAGTATTCGTGAGAGTCTCACCTTTCCATAGAGGGGTTAGATTAGTGTGTTGCCAAAACTGTTTGGACACTACAGACAAAAGTTGGCCGGTACCGACTTCAGACGAGTCCCGTGGCGCTTGTGGGGGTCGTAGAGCAAAACAGTGTTTATGAGTCCAATCTTTCCATAGAGGGGTCATAATAGTTTGTAGGCCAAAACCGCTACAGACATATTCGTGAGAAGACCGATTTTCGGGATGTCTCATGGTCTGACAAGCACTGCTGCAGCTCTGCTACCTTTCACTGCAGATGCGGAAGGCCGAAATCGGCAGATGCGGTGGATTGAGACGCAGCCCATGCAAAGATATATCTCTAGATTAAACAGACAGATTTTTATGGGGATTTTTTTATTATGCTAATTAGATTTCCGCGGGGTCGTGGACATCGACTCTTGGGGTTTATTAAATTAATCTCACATAAGTGAACATTACAGACTGAGCTGCTGGAAAACTCTAGGGGGCGATGAAACCACACAGATGAGCCAATTAATAATTCAACTTTCATACAAAGATTGTGAATAATTTAAATAATTTAAAGAGTAAATTAAATGTCCAGTTTAATCAGTGATTGTATTTTATCACTCATGACTCCTAAACTACATTAATCCGGAGTAGCAGGTATTTATGTGTCTGTTAATGGGTCACAACAATGAAAGAGTGTTTCAACAATGAAAAGAGCGTTTTGACCTTTTGAGACAGATTCCTTGACCCAACCCCGTCAGTGGCTGAAGTACCTGCAACATAGTCTCCAAAGCCCACTGTAGTCAGGGTGATGACAACAAAGTAGGACGCCTCCAGGAGAGTCCACTTCTCCACCTCCTGAAACACCAGCGTTGGCACGGCAACGAAGAGTGCTACCCCCAACAGGATGGAGAGGACGGCTGAGATGACTCGAACAATAGTAGGACTCACCTTCCACTTCTGAGAGGGAGACAGGAAAACATGAAAAAGAGGGAAAGAAATGGAGGGACTGAAATACTGATAGACCGAGATAGACAGAGGAAACACATTAAACCAAATATTTAGTGTCTCACCGCTAAGATAAACTCTATTTTGAGGATGGCTTTCCTCAGCCCGGTCCCCAGATGGTCTCCAACTCCAGCCAGGAGGATGCCAAACAGAGGGATCCCCACCAGGGCATAGAAGATGCAGAACAGCTGCCCGCCTTCTGTCTTCGGGGAGATGTTCCCAAAACCTGAGGATGATGGTTTGTAGAGCTTTAGGATTGGGATAAGTAGTGTCAGTGTGTCACAATAGATTAAACGTAGGGGAGATCAGGCTGCTGACTTACCGATGGTGGTGACGATGGTCCCAGAGAAGAAGAAGGCGCTGGCCAGGTCCCATTGGCTGGTGAAGGTGGAGGAGTTGCTGCCAGGATCCACACCTGCACCCATAGCATCTGCCACCTCCTGGGATGGGAGACAGTCAGGAAGTTAAAGTGACAGGTCAAAAAGAGAGAGAGAGAGAGAAAGAGAGAAGACAAACAGTGGTGGTAGTGTTCGTACCTGAATATTTCTGTATTTGCATTGTACTGCAACCTAACTATAGAGGTCTCATTGGATTACATGACCGATGCCTTGGACACCCCGAAAGTCTAATATCCCAGTCAGTTATATTAACCTGTTTGTTCTGTAGGTGTGTATGGCCTATGTAGGGTACCTCTATGAGGGCCTGCAGGATATCTGGGCTGACGCAGGTGTAGTTCTCCAGGAAGGCTCTGCGTGTGTCCTGCAGCTGTATGTGCTGTCCCTCCTCATGGGGAGCCTCCAGGGCCTGGAACACCACGGCCCCCAGCACCAGGTACAGCAGTACCCCTGTCAGGATACCAAGGAGGGTGGAGCAGCGCATGCTTGCACCTTCGTTCAGCCCCAAAGAAGCACGCTTCTTCCCCCCGCTGCCAGTGCTGGAGCGCTCTGGGGCCCAGCTGCAGAACAAACAGACCAAACGCAGACAGCAATCCCATGGAAACAGATGTCACCCTGACCACATTAACTTAACTGCAAGGTAATCATTAATCGGAAACTAAACATAATGCAGACTGCAGCCCCCACCATATTACTGACTGGAAACCTATAAGCATGTTGCTGATGGTTACACTATATGTGTAGGCTACACTCTTAGGAAAAAAAGGGTTCCAAAAGGGTTCTTCGGCTGTCCCCATAGGAGAAACCTTTTTTCCTACAAGGCAGAACCCTTTTTGGCTCGAGGTAGAACCCTTTTGGGTTTCATGCAGAACCCTCTGTAGAACGGGTTCTACATGGAAACAAAAAGGGGTTTTCAAAGGGTTCTCCTATGGGGACAGCCGAAGAACCATTTAAGGTTCTAGATAGCATAATTTTTTTAAAGAGTATACTGTATACAGACAATCCTGTCTCACTGGAGCAGAGGAGCCTAGGGTTGTTTTTCAGTGGCATCATGGATGCAGTATGAATTCAAACCAGGAATGGACCTGAACTCTACCAGAGATGTGTCTAAGTAAAGGATCATTACTATCTACCCCACTCCTCTTCATCACCCGGTTACCTCTCTCTCTCCTTCTCTTCTGCCCTATTCCTCCTCTTCCAGCTGCTCTTCCCTCTGCGGCTGAGGATGGAGATTCTGGACCCGTAGCTGTGGGCCTGGCCGTCCTCCTCACAGCCCGAAGGGGGGGACACTGGGTGGGTTATACCAAGACGTTGGTGTTGATGGTGTTGAACAAAATAAACGTTATGTTATTGGACCACCAGGTACTGAAGAGATTACTCATTCATTTATGACAACATTACAAAGATCATATTAAAGGTTAGTTATTATGTATGAGATCAATAAACTTCGAACACGACAATTCCCTGTTGTTCAGAATTGTTCGTTGTTGGTTTTCCATTGATGAAAGAGGTTCCCTACATCACTGTTTGCCAAAGAAAAAATGGGGTTCAGCACTGCTACATTATGCTCTTGATTGTGAGCATAACGTTACCAAAACGACAGAAAATGAGTTGCAACAAGAGATCTATGTAGGTGCTTGCTGTAAACCAAAACCCTGTGTGAAAGAGATGCATCTGTTGTATGTTCTATCTCTAATGGATCACATTGTAGGGGAGAAGTTGATATAATGGTGGATGGAGCAAGATATACAAACATACAAAATGCAGAGTCAATAAACATAAAAAATGCTGCGTTCAAGACAACTCGGAAACTCGGAACCTCTGAGGTAAAAGTTAGATACGTTATTTTGCGTAGAGCTTCCTATTGGTTGATTCAGATACTTTCCAAGGGGGAAACTCTGACCTTATCTTTCTACAACGAATTTCCAAGTCGGAACTTTCAGAGTTCCGAGTCGTCTTGAACGCGGCAATAGACAAATAGAGGTGTGCTTCAGCCAGCAGAGTGGGTTAGAGCACAAAGAATGTGTGTGTGTGTGTATGTGTGTGTGTGTGCACGTGCCTCCGGCCATGTCTGTCCATTAACACAGGGGAGAAACATTATTCTACAACAGGCATGCCACACTAGCAGGATCGGCTGTGTGAAGAATTAATAGTATGAAAAAATGTATGCACTCACTAACTGTAAGTCGCTCTGGATAAGAGCATCTGCTAACTGACTAAAATGTAATGTAAATGTAATACCCCATGATTCTCAGGGCCTGGATGTGATGTGACTGGGCTGAATTATACATTCAGTGTAATGTCCATTCCAAGCTGCCGAGTGATTGGGTAATTTAGTCCTTGATACAGCTATAGATTTCTAGTCAGCACAGGTTCAAGACCCCAGGGACACACTAATGCTGTACAGTTACATGTAGGTGTAATATTGTCTTCTGTCTGATTTTCTGTATTGACGTTGTTCTTTAGGCTTACACTCTATGTACTGTGATAGGTTACATCTGTGCTTTCTCTCTCTCATCTTAGATGTAACATTGCTTTTGGTCCTCTGTAGCTCAGCTGGTAGAGCACTGCGCTTGTAACGCCAAGGTAGTGGGTTCGATCCCCAGGACCACCCATACACCAATAAAAATGTATGCACGCATGACTGTAAGTCGCTTTGGATAAAAGCGTCTGCTAAATGGCATATTATTATTATTATTTATTATTTATTATTATTATTATTATTATTACAGCAACTCCTCTGGGCCTGATTTAACCTGAGACCAATAACCTGTCACCCACACAGTGAAATTTACACTACCCAGCCAAACAACTTCAGCAGCTGCTCGGGATACACAAACAAATGCACAGACAGACAAGCCTTTCATCCTAACGTGCAGCTATTTTGCACGTGCACACAGATCAAAATAACTGCCCTTCAACCACCCCTTTAGTCATGTGCTTTAGCTGACATATCAATCATTAGCGACAGTCAAGTTATGTTTTATAAAATTACAAAAGCTGTCGAAAGGACTTTTCAGTGCCACCAAACAATAATTTCAAACTTTTAACAAGGTTTTCTTTTAATTTTCTTTATTAGAATCTTTCCATTTTAACATAACTGCACAGTTATAGAAAACCATGAACAGATTTAATGCCTTACTGTCATATAAAGATGTCATCCTTGAGATACCTATCACGCTCAAGCCATGGCCCTTCTAAGGTATAGATACTTCACACAACGCAGTCAGAATGCCTGAGAATACATCCTTCGATCACACAGAATGAAGTTAAAATGGGGTACATTATCTGTAACAATGAAACAATTGCAGCCAATAGCAATTACACTGTTTAACACCCATATACAGTGGGTCCCCATCTGCCCATAACATCTATCAAAGAATAAAACATTCATTATCTCATCCAATGGAAGCAGGATTTGTGGTCTCTCTAACACACAGGGGGTGAAGCCTGTGGTCATCTCTTACCTCAAAATGAACGATCTTAAAAATCCAGGGTATCAGCAGCTATAGGAAGGGTCTCTTTAACAAACTCACACTAGACGCTAGGAGAGTAAACGTGCACGAGCTTGCATGTGCATGAGCGCGTGGGAGAGGCTGTTGCCGAGTGTCCAAGAAATGAAAAGCTATTCCATCAAATTGACTCCAGGAAGAGAGAGAGAGAGAGAGAGAGAGAGAGAGAGATAGGGAGAGAGGTGGAATCAGAGGTGAGTGAGAGAAAGAGAGTGGGAGAGATGGATGGATCGAGGGAGGGGTCAATGCAGATACACTGAGCTAGAATGAGCTTGTTGCATTTTTTTTGTTTCGTTTCCTCTACCCTGATTTGGATCGCTCAGTTTCTCCACGGCAATAAGAATAGAGAGAAAAAGAGCAGGGACTAACAGTGTCTCTTGTGGATATCGGACACAGGAGGTTGGTGGCACCTAAATTGGGGAGGACGGGCACCTGGTCATGGCTGGAGTGGAATAGGTGGAAAGGTGTGTTTGATGCCATTCCATTTGCTCCATTTCAGCCATTATTATGAGCCATCCTCCCTTCAGCAGCCTCCACTGATATCAGATATGCTAATTGGCAACTAACCAGATTTTTACATTGTGGTGTAGGCTACATCATGTATGTGTGGTAGTGAGCAATTCCACTATTCAGACATACAGTGTAACACTTATTCATACTCTACAATATACTGTAGTCGTGTAGCTCTCTCCATGGGTATGAGTAGTTGAGTATCAGTGTCTCGGTCTGACAGTGCCAGGATGATTTCCTTTAGTGGAGTTTACGAGAGGTCTGCTGGCATTACACTGCCGACTCCGCAATGGGCAACAGCCCCCCCCCCCCTCTGCTACCCTCAGCAGAGCCCGTCCAAAGAACCCAGCCCCCCCCCCCTCTGCTACCCTCAGCAGAGCCCGTCCAAAGAACCCAGCCGCACCCTGGAACTGCTGCTGCTGTTTGTGGTGTGTGCGGTGTGTGTGTGTGTGTGCATTTGTGTGTGTGTGTGTGTGTGTGTGTATGTGTGTGCAGCAGTAGGGTTGTGGTTATACTTCCCAGAGCTATGCAGTTGATGGGACTGAGCTCCCAGAATTCCGCAATCAACCCAACGACAAAAATCTGGCGAGAGGTGAGCTGGCAACCGGAGGGTTACAAGGCACTTAACCCCCCACAACAACAGCGCCCAGTGTGGCAGCCCCCTTGACTTCTCCAAAAACCTGTATGTGTTTGTTTTTCTGAGGGGTTTGGTTTTAAAGCAGAAGTCAAATTTCAGTTGGATCTTGTGTGCAATTGATCAATAAAGTGATCTTAATTCTTACCACGCTCCTATTGTCACACCCTGACATTGAGATCTCTAGTTGGGTTGGTCAGGGTGTGAAATCTAATTTATATATTTCTATGTTGGCCGGGTGTGGTTCCCAATCAGAGGCAGCTGTCGGTCATTGTCTCTGATTGGGGATCATACTTAGGCAGCGATGTTGCCTACCTTAGTTGTGGGATCTTGTTTCTGTTTGGCTTGTTTGATGTTTAGCCTCTTGAACTTCACGTTCTGTTGGATTTTGTTATTTTGTCGGTGTTTATTAAAATAAACGACTATGTACGCATACCACGCTGCACCTTGGTCCGATCCTTTACACAACGTACGTGAAACAAGATCCCACCACCAATGGACCAAGCAGCGTGAACAGGAGGAGCAGACATCATGGACATGGGAGGAGATATTAGACGGAAAAGGATAATGGACGTGGGAGGAGATACAGGCAGGTATGGATTGCCTTCCTTGGGAGCAGACGGAGGCAGCGAGGGAGAAAAAACGGCGACTCAAAAGGTCCCGATCACGAAGGAAGCCCGAGAGGCAGCCCCAACAAAAAAAATTGGGGGGGCACATGGGGTGGTTGGCGATGCAGCAGGAGGCCCTGAAAGGGCTGACTGTGAAGGAGGAGAGAGCTATAGAGGAGGACACGCTGAAGATGGAGGCCCTCCAAGCAGCTAAAGACCTGCAGCTCAGCACTCTGAGAGAGGAGGCCACCACCTTACAGGAGCTGTTAGTTAAGAGGGAGCAGGAGATCTCCCTTCAGAGGGAGGCGTTGCAGTAGGCCCACAGGGAGAAGGAGTCAGTGGATGCACGGAGAGAGGAGCTGGCCAGGCAACAGGAGGAGCTGAGAGAGGAGTTAACCCTCCAGCAGCAGAGAGCTCGGTCCTTAGAGCAGAGGCTGGCAGAGCCAGGTTTAGCAGAGCCAACTCCCCGCACTCGCTTTGAGGAGCGTGTGACCGTGCAGGCACCAGGCTATGCACCGGCTTTACGCACTGTGCCGCCAGTGCGCCTTCACAGACCGGTACGGCCCGTGCCTGCTCCTCGCACCAAACCAGTGGTGCGTGTCTCCAGCCCGGTGTGCCCCGTACCTGCTCCTCGCACCAAACCAGTGGTGCGTGTCCCTAGCCTGGTAGGGCCCGTGCCTGCTCCTCGCCCCAAACCAGTGGTGCGTGTCCACAGCCAAGTGCGTCCTGTGCCAGCGCCCTGCACTGGCACGAAGCCTCCAGTGAAGCCTCCAGTGATGATCCATGGCCTGACGCCTCCAGTGATGATCCATGGCACGAAGCCTCCAGTGATGATCCATGGCACGAAGCCTCCAGTGATGATCCATGGCACAAAGCCTCCAGTGATGATCCATGGCCCGAAGCCTCCAGTGATGATCCATGGCACGAAGCCTCCAGTGATGATCCATGGCACGAAGCCTCCAGTGATGATCCATGGCACGAAGCCTCCAGTGATTATCCATGGCACGAAGCCTCCTGTTATGATCCATGACACGAAGCCTCCTGTTATGATCCATGACACGAAGACTCCAGTGATGGTCCATGGCCCGGAGCCTCCTGCGACGGTCTGCAGTCCAGAG